CCGTGCAGCGCTGGCTTCCTGCGCGGGCGCGTGTGTGCGCTCGGTGCCCAGTGTGGACGCACACTTGTTTTCCTCCAGTAAATCACTCGGTCTCTGCCTCCCTTGGCAGGCACGGCGGCCCCTCCCCAGCTCTGTTTACAGCCGGTTTCACGGAATGAGGGTTGTGCCTGGAAGGGCCGGCACCGTCGGATCAGGCTCCTGCCCTGCCGCTCCGGTTTCGGGAGCGCCCGCTTCCTCCCCCCTCTGCGCCCCCGGCCCGCACTGGGTGGCGGGGCCGGTGCGATGAGGCTCGTCTGGAGCCCACGTGGCCGCTCCGGACACTCGGGGTGCTGGGCGTGTGCACAGACGAGTTCCTTTTTTCCCTCTGCGAGGAAGCTGGGTGGCCACTAAGGGTGGAACGCGGGCCTCCCTGAGAGTTCCCCAGTCACCATGGAGAGGGGCCGTGGCCGCCTGCCCTGGGGCGTGGCCCCGAGAGCTCTCCAAAGCGGGCAGCGGTGGCTGAGGGCCAGGCTCGGGACCGGCAGGAAGAAGGGTGGGTGTCTTCTCGACGTCGCTGTGGAACACAGCTGGCCTGGAGCCTCCCGGCCGCGGGGTCAGAGCCGCGGCCCTGACTGCCCACGGCTGCCCCGTGGGGCCGCAGGAAGGGCCGCTGGCGGGCCACCGCGCTGGGCTGAGGACGGCTCCGTTCTTGGGAAAGCCTCAGCCGGAACGCGGTCTGTTGAGAGCCTCCTTCCTAGTTCACGTGCTCGTGTGGCCCCAGCTCGCTTGTCGGAGGGGGCGCTGCGCATGCATGGTTCCCACGTGGGTCAGGTACACGGGCGGCCGTGATCTGGATGCAGACGGTTCGCTTTCTCTAGGCCTGACGAGAGGCCTCGTCCTTTCGTTCCGGCAATCCTCCGGGGAGGCCAGCGGTGAGGAGCCGCCTTGTGTCACAAACGGGGCCGTCTGTCTGGCATTTGCCGAAGCTCATCCCTGTCTTTGGAGGGGGAGTGGGGGAGGCGGAGGGTGCCACCGTCACGGAGGCTCCCGGACGGCCAAGCACCTGCCTCGAGATGGGCTCGCCCGCGCCCTGTGCAGACAGAACGTGGGTCCCGGGGAGCACGGCTGGCAGAGCCA